ATGAAAAACTAATAAAATATAGAGAGTATTTAGAGCAAATAGAAAAATTGAAAGAACATTCAATAAAATAATTATTGTGGTTACAAATTAAAAGGAAATAAAAGATACAGGACTTAACCTACAATATATTTTATTAAGGGCAATATAGACATTCTAAGGTAGGAATAGTTGCTGCCAACTCAATCTGATGACTTTCTGGCTAAAATTCCCTGTAAGTCTAGCACTATCCGCGGTGAAATTATATACTGATCCGTGCCAAATCCCTCTGCCTCGACTGAACAAGCACCGTACTCAGTAAGAGAACCGGACAGTTCGAGGAATGGGAGTGGATGAAATCGACTGCAGAAACTGGGACGAAGAAGCTTATAGGGATTCCATTTTACAGGAAAGAGAAGCACTTTCCCGAACGATATTCCGCACCGTCTTCGCCCCGACCCGTAACCCGAACCCGAATTCAGACATCATCGTAACTGCCTCAAGCGATGGCTTCGTTTCCTCTTACTCCATCTCCTCTTGCCTTGTAACTTCCTTACCCTGTTTTTGTAATTTTGACCGTTTAACTGCTATAAAATTGAAATCTAACTTTTTTTTATCTTTCCGGCGGTAGGCACTGGGTTGTGGAAATGTGAGAGGTCAGAAGTAAGTTTGTCTGAGTTGTTATAGTATTTTTGTTTTTATATCTTCACTTGTTTATTATCTGTATATACTGGGCTTTTTGGCATATGAATTGTGATTGATGAGATGATTTTTGTGTAGTTGGTTAGTGGCTGAACCCCATTGTTTGATTCAAGGGCACAATGGACCTGCTTATGATGTTAAATTTTGCGGTAATGAAGAGGACTCACTGTTATTAAGGTATTAATTTGTTTTCTCCGTGGATTTCATGTTCTATTGTGCGGCAATGGTGTCTGGATTCCGAGGACACCAATGATCTTTTGACTAAATTTATTAAAAAAAATTAGAGCATTATATTGCTGGCCGAAGTGTTTCTTAACATTAATCTGCATTATGTAGCTGTGGCGATGATGGTAAGATCCAAGGATGGAAATGGAAAGAAATTTTAGAATGTGAGGTGCCCATGCGAGGTAATGTGGTTCTTAGACTAGTGATGAACTCTTCTATTTTTTGGAAATTTAATTGTTAATAATCAATATGGGAAAGCTAATGACTCATATTGTACCTGCAACACTTCCACTGAAAGTAGAATTGTTTTATATTGGTTTCGGCCAATGCAATTTTTTTGTTTCTTTAAGTTGCAACTGGTGCATAAAATAATCGGTCCCTTTTGAGTGTATTTTGATAGACGTAAACTTTTTATGTACAGAGATTGGAAAGTTCTGCTAAGTTCTTAGTGCCTGTGTGTTTTTCAACGCGTGAAGTTCTAAAACTTTAGTAGTGATTTTAGAACATGAATCATAAGCCGCTAAAATTTTAAGTCACATTAGAATGGTGGATACACAAAACAATGCTTCAAAGCCTCTTTTGTAAGCTGCCTTGATACAAATTTTATGAAGTTCCTCGTTTGAAGCATCGTTGGAGCTTTTGTTAGCTTAAATTTGGTCAGATGATGATATCTGATAGAATAGCTCGTAGTTATATCTTTCAGACTCCTGTATCAAGTTATTCTACTTTCTTTTCATTATTTCTGCTCTGTTTTAAAGTTTTAATTATGCAGTTGCATTTAGAGAAAATCTTTACTTGAACTTGCATTTTTGCGTTTAATGTGTTATGTATTCATATTTTTGCAGGAGCCAAGCTGAAGCCAGTACTTGATTTGGTCAATCCACAACATAAGTTAGTCCTGAAGTTTGAAACTGTAGCATGGCTCTGTAATCTTTTTATTTGCCCCAATCCAGCTCTTTATGTTAGATGCACATATATCGCATGTCAGATATTCATCAAAATCTAATGAATTTATGAAAGCCTTATATGTCTTAATATGAGTGTGTGAACATAGAATTATTTATTGTTTACTCTATAAGGCATGTACCCATGCCAACTTTTTTTTTTTTTTGATAAGTAATCATGAAATTTTATAAAACAAAATCAAAAGATAAAACACAAGGAGTGCATTCTCAGTTTAA